CAGACCAAGTTCCCTAGAATGTACGAAAGCCATCCCAGTCATCTCTTGCAAAAGGCTGACACTCTGGGACAGAGACATATAGTCTAACCCTCAGTGACACTCAGATACACAGTCCTTCATACTTTTATTCATTCATTCATTTGTTGATTCATACTTTCATCCACTGACTCAACAAACATTCACTGAGCAACTTCAAGAGGCCAGCACTGCACTAGCGACTGAGCACAAAAAGGCAAAATGCCACAGTCACTGGAAAGCCCAAGAAGGTCCCTATCTCCAGGTATCACAGGAAAACAATGGAATTACTAAATACCGCTCTACTGAGGAATCAGTCAAAGATAAGGGGACCCAGACTAGGAGGTAAATGGAATTTCTGCAGACACTTAATGGTCATGTGGGACCAAGTTATCACCATCTTACAAATGAAGGTTTAGAAAGATTAAGTGATGAACTCACGAGAAGAGAGAGAGAGGGAGAACTGGCAGGATCTCAAGTATAAGGCATAGAGAACACTGAAGTGGGGAGGCCAGCCTCACCTAATTTTTTTTCCTGGGACACTTGGGATTTTTTGCTTCCTCCATCTTTCCATTCCTCCAGGGAATTATTCAAAAGAAATCCTCTTTTCTTCACTTTCTTCTCCAGAGATTGAATCTTGGCCCAGGAGAAAGGAAATGGAAAATGGCTCCGGGCCATCTCATTTGTGAGCTGGAGGGCGGACATCCCAGCAGGAGCTGTCTCAGCCTCCCTAATTGGGTTTGGAGTCATGCAACCCTGCCTGGCCTAGCAACTTGATTATAGGCCACTTCCTCTGCGTTGACTGACTTGTTTTAATTCTGTGTTAGGAAATCTCCCTCATTCGCATTTGCTGCTCCATTTGAGGGTCACAGAATTTGTCAGGTTAGCAAAGTTTATCCCTGGAACTTTCTCATCTTTCTTTTCATTACCTCAGAATATCCCTATGGAACATCTTCCCCACTCGTCCCAGTTCCCCATCTTACAATAATCGGATCTCATGGGGCGGGAGGAGATATCAACCTTGTATGTCACCTCTACTAGGAGGTCAAAGAATTTGTGATGTAATGAAAAGCACTGGTTCTTGGAGTTAAATAACCCAGATTATAAGGGTGGAATTTCAAGCACTAATAAAGAGATTCCCATTGTCACTAGATGGATTCTACCAGAGAGGGACTGCTTACTCTCCATGAAGGTTAGAGCAATGCTAGCTGAAACTCCACTGCCCACCTCAACTCTCCTTTTGCATTCCCAGAGCTGAGTGCATTGAATTGTCATTGTCACCAGCTCATTCCCAAATGTCATTCCCATTCTGACCCTTTTTTAATAAGCCATGCTAGAAATATGCATGTTGGGCCGGGTCTGCTGGGTAGAGTGTTAACTGGAACGTGAGAGCAGCCAATCTATGCGCTCTTTTCATAATCTATCCATCAGGCATCGCCTAACTAATGTTCAGGTTGAGTCTTCCTGCAACTCTTCCTGTCCTGCAGCCTGAACAGGCTGGATCGCCATCAAATAAATCTATTCCCCTTTTCTCTGGGCACTTGGCTGAACCACATTTTCCCCTTGCATCTAAGTGGAGGCATGGCCTTGGACACAGGTGGTGTGCTTGCCTCCTAAAATGTCTATGTAACCCTCCACATTCCCCATTGGTTCTTGGGGCCTTTGAATACAGACCATCTAGAGGAGGACTCCAGGCCCCTGGAGAATTCCCAGGCTCTAGGCAACAGTGAAGCCACACATTAGAAGGAGCGTGGATCCCTGAGTTGCCCTTGCCCCTGGAGCTCTGTCCACCAGAGCTGCCGGAGTAAATGAGAAATAAAGTTTTTAACTCACCGTAACTAATCTCTGCCCCACTCTGAGTTTTCCGCCCTAGTGGTTCTTCCAAATGTATCCAATATCCTGCTTCCCAGCTTATTTCCTCTCCTTGAAGAAAAAAAAAGAAAAAGAAAAAAGAATATCTCTTAGGAGCAAACACAGTTGCAAGCAAACAGTCACCCCAAGGGTCTCCCGAGCAGTGGGCTGCTTGCCAGACTCTGAGTAGGAATATCATTCCATTGGACCCATCCCGTCTCTACCATGATGGGAAATATAGTCACTAACTTCTGACTCCATTAATTTTAGGCAAAAATTAGCACAAATAATCAAATCATAAACTGGTTTCAAGTCCCCTGCAGCCTCTCTGATGGTGCTGGGAGGATGGATTGCAAAGTTTCTCCTTCCTGCAGAAACAAGGTGCTTTCCCCACATACGCCCTAACCCTGAGTTCCTCACTCTGGAACTTCACAGGTGGCCTGTCCTGAGCACCACTCTGCTGTCCTGGGAGAGGGCACTGAGCCCTCACCCCTTCACCCAGCCCTGACCACAGTATGTATCTGGTGTAAATGACACAATTAAGGGGATCAGGAAGGCTTAGGTTGTGGGTTAGGTTGTAGCCAGGGGTAAGTCAGACCACAGGAAGCTTAAAAGTCAGACGAGGGCCACAGAACCCTTTGCAACTGAAGATTGGGATGGACGTCCATGTTCTTCATAGGCACTGACCCCAGGAAGTGGCGGCTTTAGCCATGCTTGCCAGTGACATGCATGATTTTGTACCCTTTCAGGCTCGGCTGCTATTCAGAGGTGAGGAGGTACTGGAAGAGTTTGGATTTGGATTTTCTTTGAAGATTTAATTGAAGATCATCTCCAGGACCCAGATACGCAACCCAGAGGACACTGTTGTCCATCGCAATGGAACAGCTTTCCTCCTAACCCTTTTGGGTAGCACTCCCTGCTGTTTAAATGTGAGCCTCGGGATGGTAGGAACTTTGCTTTATTCAACATTATATCCCCGGTGCCAGGAACAGTTCCTGGCATAAGCTGGGGCTTCGTTAACTTGTGTTGAATGAATAATAAAGGTTGCCCAGGCTTGGTGGGGTGGAAGGGAGCTGGGGGTTGACTGGCTCATCCCCACAAGCAGGATTTCTGTCAGGAACGCCTTCTCCATCAGCATTCTTTTTCATGCAGCATCTGACTCCGAAAGTGCAAACTGCCTGCACCATCTTCACCGGAGAGGAATAGTCCCTTCATGACCTCATCCTTCAAGCCTCCTCTTTAGGGGCTGGAGTTGAGGTTTATCAGCCTAGGAGTTAACGTACTCATACTCGTAGGATGAACCTTTCCTGTTTCTTTACTCTCACTCTAAAGGGGTCTCCGCAGGGGGAGGAGATGAGCACAGGTGTTTAGTTTTCCATTTTAAATGGAAGCCGTGCCCCTGGATCACAAAGAACCCAAAGGCCAGTGGGGTCTCCAGGCTCACCTTGCTTTCATTTCATCTCTGGTCAATTATCCAAGACCCAGGTGAAGATGGAAGACCATAATGGGGAAACTTGGGAAGGGCGTTGGAAGAGCTATTTCTAAACTATGACTAGAACAGCTTTGGCTTCCTGGGCTGGGGAAACGGGCAGGGGGTCCAAGGGGTTACCCCTCTCTCAACATTTCTGTTTCTTCTTCAAAGCACCTTCTCATCTAGGTCTTGTAGACATCCTGCCCCTGTCATCCACAGCCAGTGGGTACCAAGGCCGTGAGTTCTCCACCTCCTCCCAGACAGGCTCTCATCTCCCCGGCATGGCACGAGCCTTCCTCATCCTGCTGGTACACAATGATGCTATCCTCCCTGCAACTCCCCCTTCCCCTGCCACCTAGAGTGTCCAGCACAGGGCCCACCCCATGACAGCAGCATGACCAAGTTATTTATTTTGGTCTAATGACTAATCTCTTTTTATCTCTCCCTACCCAGTCCTACCTAGTCAGCAGAGGCTCCTCAAACCCTCAACCTCCACCTCTATCCACGGTTTGTACCAGTTCCATACCCCTTCTGCCTTCTATGCTCCCTGTTCAAACCTTGCCCTACCAAGCCCCATTCAGCTAGCAAACGCAGGCCAGCTCTGAGGCCTTAACACATTAGCTCATTGTAACGCCATTAAGTAGACACTACTCTTAGCCTCATTTTACAGATGAGGAACTGAGGCACAAAGAAGTCAAACAGCTAATATGAGGTGGAGCCTAGATTTGGAGCCAGACTGTCTGCAGCCTCCGCCCCCACCTTAACCATCTACCAAGTGCTCTTTCCCACCCTCCAGCACTTCAACCCTCCCGCCCCAGAAGGGAGCCGCTTATTTAGTGTAGCAAGGATTTTTTTTCTGGCGTCTGACTTGGAGCAAAGTAACTGCAGAAGTTAGTATTCTGGTCGGGCTCCCAGGTCTGTCACCATATAGTCTCTTGTTTCTTCGCCCATCCCAAGCCGGGACAGGCATTTGACCCCCCTCCCGGGCTCTCTCCTCGCTACCGCACTGGATAGAGGTGTTTAAGACCCTCCCCTGTCCAGTGGCCTGAGAGAAGGAAGAGGTGCGACAGATCCATCCAGGGAGTCCCAGGAGGCGACTCACCACGCCATTGCGCGGTTCAGTCCGCCGTCCACGAATCCCAGGCGCTTGCTGCTCCCTGGCGGCCAAAGCCGGGAGCCCGGGGACCCGAGAATCGCTCCTTCTACACTCCGCGAACCCAAGGGCACCAGCAAGTGACCGGGAGGTTGGGAAAGGGGCGGGAGGAAGGGGGACACAGCTGAGGGGAAAGGGAGTGGAGCCGGGGAGGGGCGAGGGAGGGATCGCGGAGCAGACCTCGAGGAGAGAGGGCGGCCGTGGACACCCGCCGCGAGGCTGGGGTGGCTGCCGCGGGGCTGGAGTGCGCGGCAGCGCCCCACATCCTCCGCACCCCCGCTTGGCGGGAGCGCACAGCCCCTACCCGCGGCGAATGTGGCGTCCCCACCCCCCTCGCGCCGGCCGCCCCCTCGCCGTCCCCGCGCCGCCCCTCCTCCGTCCCGCCCCCCGCGCCCAGTCGCGAGCGCCGCAGTGGCCGCCGCCTGCACCGCCCGGGCGGGGAGCCGGCGCTGTACCCGCTCGCCTAGGCGCTCAGAGCTGCTCGCCGGCGGCCCGGCTCTCCCGCCCGACTCCACGCCGGCCTCGGGGAGCCCCGGCCGCCGCGCCTCCGCCCCACTCTGCTGGCGGCCAGCCGAGCTCCGCGTCGCGGGAACTTGGGCAGGACTCCGACGGTACCGGGGCGCGGGGCGCGGGGCTGGACCGGAGCCCTGCGGCTATGTCCGGTGGCCCCCTCCCTGACAGTCACTGTTCCTGTGCCCGGGTCCTGCCCCCGACGGCCGCGCGTTGAGATGACTTTCCGCGATCTACTGAGCGCCAGTTTCGAGGGACCCCGCCCGAACGGCAGCGCCTCGGGCTCCAGCGCGGGCGGCGGAGGGGGCGGTGCGTGTGGCGCAGCCGCCTCGGAGGGCCCGGCGGTAGGCGCACTGCCCGGGACCGCGGGTGGCAGCGGCGGCGGCGGCAGCGTGGTGGGCGCGGGCCAGTGGCGACAACCGGAGCTCCTCCGGGGAGCCGGGGGCCGTGGGCGCCGGCGGCGAGGTGAACGGCACGGCGGCCGTCGGGGGTCTGGTGGTGAGCGCGCAGAGCGTGGGCGTCGGCGTCTTTCTGGCCGCCTTCATCCTCCTGGCTGTGGCGGGCAACCTGCTGGTCATCCTCTCGGTGGCCTGCAACCGCCACCTGCAGACGGTCACCAACTATTTCATCGTGAACCTGGCCGTGGCCGACCTGCTGCTGAGCACCACGGTGCTGCCCTTCTCGGCCACCATGGAGGTTCTGGGCTTCTGGGCCTTCGGCCGGGCCTTCTGCGACGTGTGGGCTGCCGTGGACGTGCTGTGCTGCACTGCCTCCATCCTCAGCCTCTGCACCATTTCGGTGGACCGGTACGTGGGCGTGCGCCACTCACTCAAGTACCCCACCATCATGACGGAGCGCAAGGCGGCCGCCATCCTGGCGCTGCTCTGGGCTGTGGCCCTCGTGGTGTCCGTGGGGCCCCTGCTGGGCTGGAAGGAGCCAGTGCCCCCTGATGAGCGCTTTTGCAGCATCACCGAGGAGGTGGGCTACGCCGTCTTCTCCTCCGTGTGCTCCTTCTACCTGCCCATGGCCGTCATCATAGTCATGTACTGCCGCGTGTACGTGGTAGCGCGCAGCACCACGCGCAGCCTCGAGGCCGGCGTCAAGCGGGAGCGGGGCAAGGCCTCCGAGGTGGTGCTGCGCATCCACTGTCGTGGCGCCGCCTCGGGTACCGACGGCGCGCACCGAGGGCTGCGCAGCGCCAAGGGCCACACCTTCCGCAGCTCGCTGTCGGTGCGCCTGCTCAAGTTCTCCCGCGAGAAGAAGGCTGCCAAGACGCTGGCCATCGTCGTGGGAGTCTTCGTGCTCTGCTGGTTCCCCTTCTTCTTCGTCCTGCCACTTGGTAAGTGACCCCTCTCCCACCAGCCCTTCCTTCCTGAGCCTGTAGTTATGCCTTCCTGGCACCCAGGCTTGGCTGGCCTTCCCACCTGACCATGGAACCTGGTCCCTTAGACAGAAGTGTGGCTCGGCTTTGGGGACAAACAAGAGGCTCTCCGTGCTTGCAGAAATTGTTTCACAGGCTTCTAACTTTTCTGTCCTTCCACTCCCCCTTCATTGTCATTACAATCCTGGGCTTGTTTTACACTCTGGACCATGCTAAATATAAAAGGTCAATGGAAATCTGTGCAAGCTCATAGTATGTAACAGCAGTGTATGTGTTCACCTACATGTTAACAGACACACACACACACACACACACACACACACACAGATATACATGTCAACCCCCAGAGGTGGGCACACAGACAGGGTGGGCCTACATTGGTGCACGGGCAGCAAGCCCTGGCCATTCAACATGTGCATCAGCAGGCACCAGAAGCCACCTGCTTTCTCCCAGCACTCATTCAGTTTGGGAGCTGGCCCCCTCCCGAGCCCCTCCCCAGCTGGGATCTGTGAGTGCCCTGGGCTCTAACTTCTGCAACCTCCTCTTGGAATTGGGGGAGGGGCTGTGTGGGGGTAATAAGGGAAGGGAAGGGGGCAAACTATCAAATGGAAAGTTAATGTTGTTCGTCATCTTTCTTAAATTTACTGAGTTTTTCAGCGCTTCTGAGAAACTTTCCTGTTTCTCCCACAAGGGTCCCTGCGGACCTGGGAAGTGGGCAGCTGTTCTGAGGGGCTTCCTCCCACACCTGAGGGTCCTCCTGGAAGCCTTGGGGCTGGGTCAGCACTGGGAGGAGAAGGAGAACAGCATTTCCGGGGACGAATTTACCCTGAGTCATTTAGCCCATGGCTGCAACCTCAGCAGGCCACGCAGGGACCTGCCCTGCCTTTCCCTGGCCTGCTCCTTCCACTCTCTGCAGCTGAGTCAGGAAAGGGACAATGGCCTCCCTCCTGCTCCCCTGCTGGCTCTCTCCACACAGCGGCCAGAGTGATCTTTATACATTATAAATTAGAGTGTCACTCTCAATGAAAACCCCTCAATGCTTTCTCACTGCCCTGGGAACAAAATCTAAACTCTCCAATATGGCCTATGAGAAGGTGACCTTCAAATGTATTCTTGTCCAAACCAAAATGGGACACTAGGAATATTTATGCTTAGACCGCAGGCATGAACCCGGACAGTAGGGACAAACCCGAAGTGTGGTCCCCTTCCTGTAAGGAGAGCCCCACATGATGGGCTGCCTGCCCTCTGGCCTCATGGCTTGGCTGCCCTGCCTTTTGCTCACTGCCCCTCTGGCCCCTCTGACCCTCTTCTGGTTCCTTGCCCACATCCCTCATGCCCTTGCATTTGCTCTTCCCTCTGTCTGGCCTGCCTTGCCCAACCCCTCCTGGCTAACTCCCCATCCTTTAGGTCTCTGCATAATGTCCCCTCTTCAGAGAGGCCTTCCCAGATGCCTCAGTCTCAGGGTGTCTTTCTCTGCATTTTCTCCCTCGTGGCACAGGCTCTCTTCCTTTACTAGCTCCTTAGCTATCATCACATCTGGGTATTGCTTGGTTTGGTGTCTGACTTCCCCAACTGGCCCACAAGCTCTGCAAGGGCAGGACTGTCCTGGTGGGGAAAGTCAGAAGCAGCACCCAGCACAGTGCCTGGCATATGAAGAGCAATAGAGCACAGCAGCAAGGACCACAGGGTCTGGTACCAGATAGGCTGGCTTCGAACCCCAGCTCTGCTTCTTACTAGCTGGGTAACTTCCGGCAAATTCCAGAACCTCTCTATGCCTCTCTTTCCTCATCTATAAAATAAGGATGATGGTGATGGTTATAATGACGACCTACAGGGGTGTTAATATGACTTCAGTGAGATAGTAGGTGTGACTGTAACATGGTGAGTGCCGTGCTTTGGTAGTGGATGCTCAATATAAGATAAGAAATGAATAAATCACCAACTTGAAAGTCACTCAGCCAGAGGCTGTGGTGGGGATCGGAGAGGGATGGAGGGGGAAGGGAGAGGCAAATAGGCAGGAAGAGAAAGTCTGTGTGCCCCCCTTTAGAAACCCACCCACCCAGTATTTAGAACCACCCCCCAAGCCATCACCCAGGCTTCTTGCCCTGCCAACCAGCCCCTGCTCCAGCCTTGCTCAGCTGCGCCCTGTCATCCCAGTTGCCCTCACCCTCCCCCTGCCCCTTGGTTCGCACCAGTCCCCTGTAGAAAATAATCAACCTGTGTGTAGACTGCCATCTCCCCTAATGGTTTTTTAACTCCTTTTCAAATTTCTAGTTACAGAATAATGCACATAAGACGAAAATAATATAGCAAGTGCCCATGTGCCCAGAATCACCCATACTGAATGGATGTTCACATTTTGCCATATTTGCCTCTGATCCCTGTTTCTCTCTTTTTTCAAATAGAACACAGCCACAGCTAAGTTCCCTTCTCCCGTCCTTTTTGGCTCCCTCCCTCCCCAAGGGTAAATCTGGTATTTATCACTCCCACACATTTGTGCTCTTCCCACAAATATCTGTATCCATAATAATAGAGAGTATTGTTTTGTGTGCCTTTAGGATTTATGTAATCGCAGCGTGCCTGGCGCATCAATCTCCAGTTTGCCTTTTTCACCCAACGTGGTGTCGTTGAGATTTCTCCATGTCCACGCTGGCTCATCTCAGCAGCAGCGTGGTGCTCTGCTTGAGAGTGTGCCATGGGGTGTTGATGCAGTCTCCTGCTGAGTGCTCCGTGCTTCCAATTTCTCGCTGATACAATCAACACGGAAAACGGCTACTGTTTTCTGAGGTCTAGATCACGTGTCCCCCGCTTCCAGGAATTCATCCCCAAATTTCCATGGCCTTTGCCCCTGGCTGGTACACACTGCTCTTTCTTAATCCTTCCATCTCTGCTGCTCCTCACCTCTGGCGTGGTAACCCTGGGAGGGGGGTCTCCCTGTCTCCACCTTCCTACTGGTCTGTGGTGTGCCCAGCCTCCCAGGGCACCTCACTGAGCCCCAGAGCAGAGCCCACGGCCGCTGGTGGAGCTGAATTGAGTGGAATCTGGCAATAGCAAACAAACAGGACAGAGACCAAGCAGGGACACAGAATATTCCAATCGCCACGAAGTGGCTCTGAGGGTAGATCAACAGAGAGAACAGGAGGATGGAGCCAGAGGTGGAGAAAGGGTGGCCTGAGGGTTATGCAGGAGGACCAGGGGGCCAGGAGGTCCTGACACTCCCCAGCACTGGTCCCGGCCTGGAGGAGGAAGGCACCACTGAAGGAACGGAATATTCTGAGCAGCAACTTGTGGGGGAGGAGGGGGGATAAAATGTGGCATCCAGGGGGTTGGCACATCTTGATAGGAGGTGCCAGTATGTGGTGGGGGGTGGGAACTTAGATAAGAGGGTCAAGAATGGGAGTGGTTGCAGAAGCAGAAAGAGGATGGAGAGGCAAAGAAAAAAAAGGGTCTGGGGACAGAGCCTGGGGAGCCCCCACTTTGAAGAAATCAGGAGGAGGCAGAGAAGGGGGAAGCCAGGAGGACTGACACTTTTCAGCTCCCCCAAGCCCTGGTCCCACACCAGACATAAGGAGCAGCAGGGATGGAGAGGTTGAAAAAGCAGTCGGTGCCAGAAAGGGCCATAAGCCATGACAACAAAGGCACCCAGTAGAGCCATAGCTAGGGGTTGTCAAGCAGACCCAGGATGCTGTGTACCCACACCTCGGACACAAAGCCAAGCGGAAGCTGCAGCTACAGCACAGCAGTGACATAGCCAGGGAGTGGCCCTGACAGCCCAGAGGGCACTGAGAGCCTTAAGAAGGGAACCCAGGGTCCCAGAGGAACCTTGGCACAGGGAGCGAGTGACTGCCATTTATAAACTGAAATGCTGTGGGTCAGACCAGAGCAGGAGTAGAGAGAGATACAGATGGGGTGCCCTGAACCATAGGGACTCTGCGGGCCCGGGGCCAATGGCCAGGAGAGATTGGGACACAGACACCAGGCACCTAAAATCCTGAGTGGCTTAAAGAGGGGCTAGGGGTCACCCCCCCCCACACCTCCAGCTGCCCCCTTTCCCAGTGAGGAGCAACTGCAGGACATGTGCCAGCACGTAGAGAGTCAGCTCAATGAACTTGAGACATCACCTGTCGGACCCTGTGATTTAGGGCAGCAAGTTCAGGGAAGGCAGCACCTGCCTTTCCAGGACACGTGGGGAGCTATGTAAGGAATGAGAAATACCACTCACCCCCATGAGAGGGCACTCACTGCCTGGTGGTTCATGATGCCCAGCTGTGCTGTCTGCCCCGTGAAAAATGACCACACGTCCAGGTTTGGCCAAGACAGCCCTGGTTATACCTGTTGACCTGCATGATTACTAACAGTGCCCCTTTCACTCTCAGAGATGTTCCAGTCTGGATGATAGAGTATGTGGTCTCCAGTCCTTGGAGGAGGGGCTCTTGGCAGCGCTGCCAATGAGAGATGTGTGCCTCCTGCCCTCACCAGCAAGCTGGTGCAGCACTAGGTGCCTGAGAAAATCATAAGACATTATGTAAAGGCTCCTTCTTACAAGGTTATTTAGCCAGATGTCTAGAGCAGCCCAGACTTGTAGTATGCATATGGGGAGGGGCATCAGTTAGGACCTGCTACCTGCAGACTTCCATGGAGGACCCCCCAAAAGGGGGGGCATGACAAGGGTGGGCCAGCTAGAAATACACCTGAAAGCCTCTGCCCTGGACCCTTCACCCACAGCCTTTGGGTGTAGAAATGCCAGTCACCTTCCCTGCAGGCAACGGGGGACAGAGGGACTGGAGGAGCACTGTCCCGGGCAGGCAAGCACCCATCTGCAGAGAGCGCCCTTCCTCTCCCAGGCGTCTCCAGAGGCCCCATCTCTCCTGATGTTCTCATGGCAGTAGCATCCCACTGAGTCTGGCTTCGGCCTGCCAGCCATACCCAGAGGTGGACCTGTCCATTGAGACCTAGAC